GTAGTGTTAGCAAAGACACCCTTTCCACCAGCACACTCCATCTCGATACTGAATATGCAAAATGGACCCATTTTTTAAAAATATCCTTCTGGAACATGGCAAATGAGTTATGAATAACTAATACTTTTGTCACGATAATTATGTTATTTTTATTAAATATTCAATAACCAATTCTAAACAATATTTATATCTTTTATTTTCTTCAATTAATTCATACATTTTTGTAATCGTGTCATCATATTTACTGATCTTCTATAAATTTCGTATATTCAAGATTCTATTTCCTAATATTCTATACTCCCTTTTTAGATGAATATCGTATATTAAACTAAATTTCAGTTGTAATCTTATAAATCCCAAAAAATCAGGAACAAAATTTTATCCAATAAAGATGCAAGAACAATAAAATCATAAAATCAAAACCTTTTTCCAATATATATATATATATATATATATATATATATATATATATATATATATATATATATATATATATATATATATATATATATATATATATAACTTTACCCCTGAACGTGAAACCGAAAATTTTGAAACTCCTCATTCGTCTTCTGTATGTTTCAATTGCTTATGCGATTCTTTTTTCATCAAACTTACATCAGGGTGCTTCATTCAAGTTCTAATCCTCATTCCAATTCACAAATCAACTGTTTTTCATTTTAAAGCCGTCTTACTTCCTGCAAGATTTCCATATCCATATGTCAGGTTAGTATTATGAGTTTACATTACATTGGTTTCTCTATGAATTTATGGTTGAAATTTACAACAAACTGTTTCATACAAGTTCAAACAAACTTACGTGTTCTCGGTTTTTGAAGATCTTAATTTGTTATAATATATACAAATTATAGAGCAAAATCTTTTATCTCTTGTGAAACAGTTGCAATTAACCGATGTTTAATCGAGATATGGAAATACTAGAACGAAAAGTGTTACCGAAATCTAAATAAACTTTCATTTTACTAACTGTAAAAAAATATGTTCACATACCTATTTATTATCAATAATCAATTTTTAGTCATCACGCTTTTCGTCTATCACATGATTTTACCTTCATTGTTTCATTGGAGATCTAGGGTTTTAACCCCTGAAATCATCCGAACCCACGGTTGGTTGAAATTGGGGAAAGAGCGGATGTAAATCGAATAAACCCTAGGTTGGAAACGAGGATGATGAGTGATGATGATCATCATGGAAATAATTGATTGTGGCACTGGAAGAAGGAGAATCTACCTTCAGATCCTATTTTTCAAACCTGACTATGACCAAATCGAACGACGAGATGGCATCATAGATGAAATATTCTAGGTTCCCTTTCATTCGTTGTTGATTGCGATCGATTATGGGGGAATCGATGATATTCATTGACGGCTAATCTTCGACGACCATCTATGGAAGATTGGTAGATTAGTGATGAATAAGAGTTTTGTAGAGAGATAGTTGTGAAACGAATTGGTTTTTTACCTTCCTGATACGAAAACACAAACACACAGAGAGAAACATAGATAGATTGAGTGATGCAAAAGACTTTTGTAGAGAGATAGTTGTTGGTAGATTAGTGAAACTTCTTTTGTTGGATTAATTTGTTTAAAGAATATACGTGGCCCTACAGGAAACCACAAGTGATGGAACAATCAAATACACAATCGTAACACATATATTTTTCAAGATTATTGAGGAGTTACACAATATAAAAAAATATAAAATTTCTATTTTATATTATTTAATATTCTAAATATTTCAATGGGCTATTTTTAAAAAAAAATATTATAAATGAATAAATAAATATTTGCAAATTTTGTTACACATTTTAATAAACGAATTAATAAATGTAACTTTTTAATAAATAAGTACAACTCTGCCACGTGTCACTCACTAAGGACCCCCAAAATCGAGTTTTCCCGCTCATTTATTCATCTATATTTACGTAAATGTCATTCAATCCAAATTAAATCAAAGTTCAAATTGATGCAAAAATCGGGAAATTTGACCAGTCACCTGCATTCAAAATATGCAACCATTAATTTTAAATGAATAAAAATTATGGAAATAATTTGAAAAAATATGTTAATCAAAAATAAGATTCGAAATTCACGATTAAATTTGAAAGTTTGTTTATTTTGATTGCAAATTAAATATATTGCAATCATTAAATCCCTAAAAATCTGCAGTATTCTTCTCAACAAACCTATATACCATTTATCCGGTTATTTTTTTTTTTTACCATTCTGCTCCATAACAATTCTGCTCCATAGAAACCATAGCAAACATATTCTTCTTCATCCTTCTTGATTTTGCAACGCTTCAATAATTAAATCAGGTTAGTTTATTCAAATATCAGAATTACAAATATTTGTATTCCCTTCATGGTCTTATTTATCGGTATCTATCACGTTCTGATTGTATGATTGTTCTTCTTCTTCTTCTTTTTTGTAATTCTTCTTAATCGTCTACTTCTTCTACCTTTTCAGTTTAAAAGACGAAAAACTAATGAACATGACAAATTCATTTTCTTTAAAAAAATAAAAAAAAAATAGTCTTTTTCAAATATGAAACTTTACTATTACATTTTTTTTTTGTTTTAGTGTTACATTTACTTTGATTTGCTGTTACATTAAATCTAATTTATGATGTCAATTATTTTTACTTTGTCTATTTACGTATTAATGTGGATGTATAAGAAAAAACTAATGAACATGAGAACTATTTTTTTCTTTAACATGATTGTTGTGATCCAGCTTCAAGTTCATTACTACAAATTAGTGAATTAACCCATAATTCTGACATGATATGCCAAACCATTAGAGTTGACCTGCAAAGTTATTAAAATTCTAAATGCTCAGTCTTGCACAGTAACTTTTGTTTTAATGGTATGAAATTTTAAAATTTGTTTGTATTTATCTAAATACAATCTCAATAAAATGATTAATAATAGCATACAAGTTACCCTACGTATAAACCAGGGTCTGTAAGAAATCTACTCATTTGGTTTACACATTAAAAAATATATATTACTTACTTTAAGAAAAAATTATTAAGTGCTGATTTATAATTAGTCTGTTTTAATTGTTAGTTAGGATTTTCTTTACATTAGTATTTTTTTTTAGTTTTGCTGTTACATTTACTTTAATTTGCAGTTACTGTAATCCTAATTGATAAGCTAAGTTGATTCATTGTTATGTTATCTATTAGTATGTTGCAGGGGCATTCACGGTATAATTGGCGTTTTCATGTTAATTTTACATTTGTGTTCCATCTTATTATAAAAACTTTTATTCAATCTAAAACATTATTTCATATGAATTATTTCTTTTTTGTTTGTATACCATTTTATTATAAAATGATTTATTGAATTTAAAAAATTATGAGTACATTCAATTATTTGTTATTGTCATGTGTTGATTTATAATTTTTCTGTTTTACTTATTGGTTAGGATGTTTTGTACATTCTAAAAGGTTGCTAATTTTCCTTACAATTCTACATGGTTTAAATTTTCTTGCAGAAAATGAATATAGGAAATAAGGTTTACCTAAATTACATTGACCAGATAGATAAACAATCACATATCAAGGTTCGGGTGCTTAAAATTTGAAACTTTGTTAGAAATAATAAAGTTTGTTCGATTGAAATGATCCTGATGGACGAGGAGGTTTGTTGTATTTCATATATTTTTTATTAATCATTCAATATTAGACATGTTTCATGAAAATTATAATTTTTAAATTTTTTTAAACAGGGTACACAATACCATGCTCGTGTCTTCAATCAGAATTTCTCCAGATTTTGTCATCTTTTAAAGGAAGATGAAAGTTGTATAGTTATAAAACCCAATATGGCTGCTGTTACTAATGGTTTTAGTTATACAGGTCATAAACAGACCTTAACTTTGGATTGGAAAAGCATCCTAAAAAAATGTGATGATTTCTCGGGTCCGGTCAATGGATTTATGTTTGTTGACTTTAATTCGATCATAGAACAAACATGCCTAAGAGACACATTCTTTGGTTAGTTATAAAATATTAATAAAATCATTTTTTATCATTTGTTTTCTTGGTTATAAATTTTATTATTTAAATATTACGATTTTAATTCAATAGATTATGTTGTGTTATATGTTGTGTAGATGTTATTGGACATATCATGTCATTTAGGCCTCTTGAAACTTCAAATCCAGTACCATCCAAGCATTATATAAAACTCATTCTTAGCAACTTAGAGTGAGATTATATTTTATTATTTATTATCTTTAATTAATCACAAATTAATATTAATATACGATTTTTTGGTTTATTTAGTTCTGTACATCTGAAGGTTACTATTTTTGGAAGTCAAGCATATCAAATTTCAGAATACCTAAAAAATAACCCGACAGTCAATTGTGTTGTTATCGTGATGCAGTTTTTGAAGCTAAACATTTGGAAAGGTTTTTATTCACTCTTTATATATAGATGTTTATAATTACTGTTTTTATATAATTTTTATTAATTGGATGTACATTTTTTACAGGTATTGGTGAAGTTAAAAGTCATTTTGAAGTAACAAAATTGTTCATAAATTCTGACCTTTATGAAATAAATGAGTTTAAAAATAAGTTAGTTTTCAATTGTTTTTTATTTTTTTATAATGTATTTTAACTTAAAAAAACACAAATCCTAATATTCTTGAATTTAAATTAAACATCACAGGTTGAAATGTCATGACAATTTCGATATAATGAAAAAAGCATAACTACACTTCAAAGCTACTATTCTTCATATACAGACGACTTTAAGGGCAATTTTCCATTAAAAACATTTTGTGAGATCACCGAACCAATAAAGGTATATTACATTATTTGATATGTTTTACATTTTATTTTTGCATAATTTATTTTAATAAGTTTTACATTTAATATGATACAAGAAATGAAGTTTTTATTAGTTGCTTCCATTGTTAATATAAGGCAGAATCTACCATGGTATTATGAAGCATGCAAAAAATGTGGAAAATAAATAATCCCTGTTCCCAAAGCCAATCATTCGTTTACCAACCCAAAGCCAATCATTCGTATACCAACCCTGAGGGAATTTCAGAAACTATGGTTGTCGAGTGTACAAATGCACAATGCAAAAAATCTGAATTTCAGACAGTTATAAAGTAAACACATATTTACTTCTATTAATTTTGTCAATCTGTAAAACAACACTAACAATGAGATAATTTTTTTGTTTTAGGTATATAATTCCAATCAACGTACAAGATTGTACCGGAACCATTGGATTGACTCTTTTTGATAGGGAAGTAAAGAGGTTGTTAAATATAAGTCCATACGAGTTGAAAAAGATACATGATGCGGTATATTATTCATACCTTAAAATCAGAAAACAATTACTTTTTTTTTTAAATTTATTAAAATATATCTTACAGGCCGGAGACAGTGATTCACTATTTCCAATGCAACTTAACGTGTTGAAAAACCGCAAGTTTGGTTTTGTTGTAGATATTACAGAATACAATGTCAACAACTATAATAATATCTACACAGTTCTCAGAGTTACAAAAGATATGTCCATTATTTCTGAATTGGAAAGTAAAATAGAACTTATGGTATGTAACCTTTTATTGTTGAAAATTTACAATTCTTTACTGTTAAAATACATAACGATTAACATATTTCCATTTTATTTTTTAGACTATTCAATCTGTCTCCTTAAATCAAGTTGCTTTGGAATCAGATGATGTTGTACAACCTGTTCATAAGGCTTTTGAATTCCTTTTATAAAGTTTTATTTAGATTAGTTTTTATTTGGAATTAAACACTTATTATTATTATTATTTAACTTAGGATGTGATCTCACAAACAGATGAAAGTTTTACTCCCTCAACAGTTGATAAGTTAACCACAACAAGTCCAAGCAAAATATCAGGTTATTTGAAGCGCAACCTACAAGAAATTTATTATATTGATTCTGGAGATGATTTAAGTTCAACTAAGGCTAAAAGAAAGTCAACCGGAAAGGAAACTCCACTCTTAATTCCAAAAATGGAAAAGTGAGTTGCTATTGGTTATAAATCACATTTAATATATTTTGATCATTTGTTTTGGTTTTAAAGATATTTTGATTGCTTGGTATGATTTTTATTTTGGGATATTTAGGATGTGAAATATTATTGGTTTTGAATATTTTTAGATATTTTTATTGTTTTAAAGTGGACAAGTTAGTTGATTTTGGTTTTAACTCAAATTAAAAATATTTTGAAGTTTATTTGTTTGTAAATATATTTTGAATTTTATCTTAATATTTAAATTTTTTGGCCGATATTACCTATGGGGTTATTATTTTTCAAATGTTACATCTCATACAGGTTGTTAATTAGTATAAGGTTTTTATGATTTTTTGGCTACCCCTTTTAGTTAAAAAGTATAATGCATTTGTTGTCTCTTCCTTTAAGCATAATGTTATTGTTGATTTTCCTCTTTGAAGTGTATTGCTATTCGTATCTACTCGTGTAGTAGTATGTTTTATTTTAATATTTAATTTTTGTTTTGTAAATATTTTTTTTATTTAGACTCTTAATTAGCAATGATTGGCTCTTTTATTTAAAAAGTAAAATAAATGAAGTTTAAACTGTTACGGCTTCATAAAATGACTATTTTAAACATTTTACCCCTATTATACTTATAAAAGTTTAACTTATTATTCAAATGTAAATTGCTTTAAATTTGAATTATATTGTTATAACTTGGTATATTTATCAAAGTACGATTTTGTGATAATAATAAATGAAATTACGATGCTATAATAATCAAAATACTTGAAATACATTTTTATTTCTAGTATTTAGCTCAATATTTAAACAGAAAATGATAGTGATAATAATACCTGTTAATTAAGAAAAGGTGATGAAACAGAATTCAGTGAGTATGAGCTTAACTTATAATCTCTTTGCATAGCCTAGAAAATAATACAATGAATTAAAACCTTATAGTTATCCCTACATATCAACTTACTTTTTCGATAATATTTTTACAGAAGTTATGACCTGTATTCTTTCAAAGTGAACTCTCTCTTCCAATGTAACTTCTTTACTTTCACTTGTACAATACTGTAACAACAATTAGTAAATTTAAAGTAGCAATGATTCGAATCAATAAAAAAATTCCAGATTTTTTGTTTTTAATAAACAATTTTCCGAAAATACCCCTAAGATCTTTTGTTATATTAAAGGTTGCAAATGCTCTGAATCTAATTGCAATTCATTTGATAAGCACATAGGCATTCAAACTTCTTTTTCTATCACAGAAAAAAAAAACACATTGTTTTAATAATCTAGAAAAAGTACATGTAAAAATAATGCAAAAGTCATTTTGAGACAACAAATAATGACACAATCATCATGATTTATAAGATTTTCAACACAATATAAGAACATGATAACTTTGTCGTATGGAATGTTACGATATAAGTTCATGACATTTTTAGAAGTTTGGCGGTCTTAGAGAATTTTTAAGTTTGATGGTCTTAAACAACCTTTTTAACTGTTTATCATGTGATAAAATATCTTAATAGTGTTGACGAAATCTATTTTAAGAAAAACATGGTTTGCAGGTGTCTTAGTCAATATATAAATAAAATTGATAAGGGCATATTGTTTGATTATGATTTTTAGGTTTTCTGGTTCTATTAGGTTAGGATTATACATGATTGAGTAATATTTTCAAACATAAATAACGAAAAAAAAAAAAAAACAACCTAGATCAGCTTTATTTATTTATTTTAATCCGATTCAAATAATCAGTTTTGTAAACTAGATAAGTTTTATGAAACGTGGTACACCGATTCGAATCAATAAAAACATTCCAGATTTTATGTTTTTAATAAATAATTTTCCAAAAATACCCCTAAGATATTTTGTTATATGAAAGGTTGCAAATGCTCTGAATCTAATTGCAATTCATTCGATAAGCACGTAGGCATTCAAACTTCTTTTGCTATCACAAAAAAAAAAAAAAAAAAAAAAACACATTGTTGTAATAATCCAGAAAAAGTACAGGTAAAATGAATGCAATCAAAAACTTTAACATAACAATTTACTTGAGTAAATTTCTTTTTATATATGAATTAAAAATTGATAAAAGGATCGTGTGTAGTGTTAGCAAAGACACCCTTTCCACCAGCACACTCCATCTCGATACTGAATATGCAAAATGGACCCATTTTTTAATATTATCCTTCTGGAGCATGGCAAATGAGTTATGAATAACTATTACTTTTGTCACGATAATTATGTTATTTTTATTAAATATTCAATAACCAATTCTAAACAATATTTATATCTTTTATTTTCTTCAATTAATTCATACATTTGTGTAATCGTGTCATCATATTTATTGATCTTCTATAAATTTCGTATATTCAAGATTCTATTTCCTAATATTCTATACTCCCTTTTTAGATGAATATCGTATATTAAACTAAATTTCAGTTGTAATCTTATAAATCCCAAAAAATCAGGAACAAAATTTTATCCAATAAAGATGCAAGAACAATAAAATCATAAAATCAAAACCTTTTGTCACGATAATCATGTTATTTTTATTAAATATTCAATAACCAATTCTAAACAATATTTATATCTTTTATTTTCTTCAATTAATTCATACATTTTTGTAATCGTGTCATCATATTTACTGATCTTCTATAAATTTAGTATATTCAAGATTCTATTTCCTAATATTCTATACTCCCTTTTTAGATGAATATCGTATATTAAACTAAATTTCAGTTTTAATCTTATAAATCCCAAAAAATCAGGAACAAAATTTTATCCAATAAAGGTGCAAGAACAATAAAATCATAAAATCAAAACCTTTTTCCAATATATATATATATATATATATATATATATATATATATATATATATATATATATATATATATATATATATATATATATAACTTTACTTCAGAACGTGAAACCGAAAATTTTGAAACTCCTCATTCGTCTTCTTTATGTTTCAATTGCTTATGAGATTCTTTTTTCTTCAAACTTACATCAGGGTGCTTCATTCAAGTTCTAATCCTCATTCCAGTTCACAAATCAACTGCTTTTCATTTTAAAGCCGTCTTACTTCCTGCAAGATTTCCATATCCATATGTCAGGTTAGTATTATGAGTTTACATTACATTGGTTTCTCTATGAATTTATGGTTGAAATTTACAACAAACTGTTTCATACAAGTTCAAACAAACTTACGTGTTCTTGGTTTTTGAAGATCTTCATTTGTTATAATATATACAAATAATAGAGCAAAATCTTTTATCTCTTGTTAAATAGTTGCAATTAACCGATGTTTAATCGAGATATGGAAATACTAGAACGAAAAGTGTTACCGAAATCTAAATAAACTTTCATTTTACTAACTGGAAAAAAATATGTTCGCATACCAGTTTATGATCAATAGTCAATTTTTAGTCATTACGCTTTTCGTCTATCACATGATTTTACCTTCATTGTTTCATTGGAGATCTAGGGTTTTAACCCCTGAAATCATCCGAACCCACGGTTGGTTGAAATTGGGGAAAGAGTGGATGTAAATCGAATAAACCCTAGGTTGGAAACGAGGATGATGAGTGATGATGATCATCATGGAAATAATTGATTGTGGCACTGGAAGAAGGAGAATCTACCTTCTAATCATATTTTTCAAACCTGACTATGACCAAATCGGACGACGAGACGGCATCATAGATGAAATATTCTAGGTTCCCTTTCCTTCGTTGTTGATTGTGATCGATTATGGGGGAATCGATGATATTCATTGATGGCTAATCTTCGACGACCATCTATGGAAGATTGGTAGATTAGTGATGAATAAGAGTTTTGTGGAGAGATAGTTGTGAAACGAATTGGTTTTTTACCTTCCTGATACGAAAACACAAACACACAGAGAGAAACATAGACAGATTGAGTGATGCATAAGACTTTTGTAGAGAGATAGTTGTTGGTAGATTAGTGAAACTTCTTTTGTTGGATTAATTTGTTTAAAAAATATACGTGGCCCTACAGGAAACCACAAGTGATGGAACAATCAAATACACAATCCTAACACATATATTTTTCAAGATTATTGAAGAGTTACACAATATAAAAAATTATAAAATTTCTATTGTATATTATTTAATATTCTAAATATTTCTATGGGCTATTTTGTTTAAAAAATATTATAAATGAACAAACAAATATTTGCAAATTTTGTTACACATTTTAATAAATGAATTAATAAATGTAACTTTTTAAATACATTTACTTTATTATTATTATTTATTTAATTTTAACTAACTTTCATTGTACATATTATTTACCTAATTTCACATTTCATATCATATCCTATGTCTTCTTATGCAGAAAACAACAGTAACATGTACCACATGCAGGCTAGAGAGAAAACAAAGAAAGAAAAATATATTTGGAAAATAAAAGATCGAAGAAAATAAAAACAACCTCGAACGTTCCAAGTACATCATTACGTCATTTCTTCAAAAATACTGTTATATAGTTATATACATATATTTACAAGTTTTATAATTTATTTCTATTTGCAGATCAATCAATCAACATTATTCGCCAGACTCAAAATGTCAATACATTTACAACACCTACAAAGCATAACACAAACATACAATACTGTCATTCCTTTACAGATGTTAGAACTCCATTTTCTAACATTACAAATGTTATAAATCCGTTATCTAACATGAGAAATGGTAATTATTTATG